AGGCCTCTAAGACCACCCTTACACAGTGAGGGCAGCACCCTCTGGAGCAGTGACTATGGTAGGTCTGTAGGTCAAGGATTCTGCTCTGTGCTGCACACACCCACACCCATACATAGGTATATATAACAGAACTCAATAGCTTGAAGAAATCATCTATGATTCTTTGACCTGCTTACCTGGATCTGAATTCTTCTGTAACATTTTAAATCAATCCAGGTGGACCCTTCTTCTGGAAAAATAAATCCCAATGTCCCAGAATTACAGAGCATTCAACATGTCCAAAGCACAAATTATTCCACCATAAAGATTAGAGATACTTTTCCTACCTCCATGGATTCAGCTTCCTAAGGAGAATATACACAAGGCTTAGTTCAGAAGGACAAAGACACTATCTTTTTAGCAAATAAGTAACCAAACGGGCAGGGAAGAGAGGTGAAATATGTCATAGCCAGGCTAGCAGAATCCCCTGGTCTTGCCATTACACGTGATGCTTTCAAATGGGTTCTTAGTACCCTAATTTTGAGGGACAAGAGTGGAAGGAACCAGCCAATGCTTTTGCATGCTTAGTTTCTGCCTGTGACACTGAACTCAAGAGAACTGAGACTTTGGAGAAACCAAAGATGGTTCAAATGACTCGTGAGAATAAATTAACTCAGTGCTCCTTGCTGACAAGTTGAAGTTTCCTAACTGTAAAGCAGAACCAGTAGCCACCAACAAAGACGGCCTACCCCACAGATGGAGAAGAAATAAAGCACCGAAACTGAGCCTGAGGGACCTCCCCAGCCCTGGGGCACAGGTCCAATGGGGCTCCTTCAGGATCAGCAAAGCAAGTTCTCACCAGCAAACCAGCTTCAGAGCAGCTGGCTTATTAACATCTGGAGATCTGGGCACTCTCTTCCAGGCCTGGAGACCAGGGGAAAGGGGATGTGGAGGGTGGGGGTCCCCCTACATTGTTGCCCCAGGAGAGGCCACTTCCCTCCTAAGATGCCTGGGATTTTCCAGCAGGGGAAGGTAACTGAGTACACAGCAAAACAACGAGGGCACAGAACAGATGACCTCCCTGCACAGTTTTGGATCGGAAATCCAGCAGGCAGATGTGCCCCTTCCCTGGGCTAGGGAGAGCTAGGCCCAGCCCCAGCACACCTTCACCCTCAGAAAAGCTGAGGCCAGACCAGGAAGTCTCCAGGAGCTACAGTAGGACATCAGAGCTGAGGTTGTGAGGGCCAGGACTGAGACTGGGCCAGGCTGGGAACAGCCCAGAGCTTTGGTCTCCAAGCCTGACTGCCCTCCAAGACCAGCTGGCCCTTTCCAAGCAGATACACCACATATCCCTAATACTCTGTCTCCAAGTAATACCACCACTTTTCCCAAAGCAGAGACATTTCCCAGAGCCTTCCAGGCCTGGTATCTGTTCAGTGGGACTCAATTCCAGAAGGAGCTGTTAAATCACCCACTGCTTCAGTTTCCAAAGTTCTATGACTTAGTGACAAGTGGAACTACATTCTGACAGCAACTGCAAGTTCCCTAGTACCCACTGACTTCTCTTTTTTCCTTGGGATACTCCCTCCCGCTAAATCCCAGACCCACCCACCCCTAACCCCCTGAATAAAGATGGAGAGCACACCACCACATCTTATCCTGTGAGATGTGGAGAACTCCTCTCCTCCTGAGAGCTTAAGACCAAATGGAAGTTACTTTCTCCTCTTCACCTCAAATTCAGTGATGGACTCTCTGAATTGGACTCCACCAATACATAGGAAAGCAGTCATGGGCCGTAATTCTGAGGGGCACAGACAGGACCAGCCAGCCTTAGATAAGTTGGTAAAAGAAGCAAAGCTACCTTAGTTCCCCTTCTTCTTCCCCATATATTTCCATGTCCTATCTCTCTTCGTCTCAGCTGGCAGTCATTTCAAACCAGCAATGGTGCAATTCAACAATTAAGGTATTAGTTAATAAATGCTGACAGCATGGCCCTTTCTGGTCATTTGTACATATTAAAATATGAAAGATGAGCTCCTCAAATGGAAAATCCATTGAGATCTAAAGCAAGGAAGCTATCATGGTGGAATTATGGATGTTGCATTAATGCTCTGGAGCAAAAGAGAGTCCATTTCTCCCACAAGCAAATCCCAGCCCAAGGCATTGATACCAATAAAGACCCTAGATGCCAGCAGTATGCAAGGTGGCAGACAGTGTCCTCCAACCTCTGCACACACATGCATTCCCATCCCCACACAACTTTCCCTTTCCTGGCTGCCAGAAGCACAAGACCTGGGGTTAGGTCAGGCCCCCTCACCCTTGAGGGCCACTTTCAGGAGTTTGAATAATGATGATGACCATGGACAGAGAAGGCTGCGGATTTCTGACACAAAAACATTTAGCAGACCTTGAAAATGGTCTATGAGCAAAACACAAGCTGGGCTCATTACCTAAATTGAGGGACCTGGTTTGAGCATCTTAAAAAAAAGGGGAAATCTCTCAAAAAAACGGGGAAATCACTTATTTTTTCTTCATTTTCCACTTTGTGCCATAAGGTATTTTCAACAAAACATAGAATCTCATTTCTTCAGAGGAAAAATGACTGGGAGACAGCTGATGACTGGCACAGTGGTCTGGCTCATTTTTAGTCCCCTCATAGACAAGACACCACGTGGACTGATGGAAATGAGCTGGAGGAGTTTTCCAAGGGAGAAGTCTCGAGCCAAGGAATGTTGCAAAGAGCAAGCGTTTACTGCGGGATTGCTATGCACCAGGGATTTTTCACACTTCATCCCATTCAACCTGCACAACAGCCATACGGGAAGAACTTGATTATCCCAGTTTTATAGATGAGCAAAAAAGGGCACAGATCCTTGGGGTAACTTAGCAAGGGTCAAAGAGCTAGCAAGTGGCAGACAGAGCTGGGCTTTAAACCTAAGCTGTGTGACTCAAAAGCTTGTGCTCTACCATGTTCCCTCCCACAGAGAATTGCCGAGGTGGCATCCAGACAATGGGAAATTATAGTGTGTGTGTGTCCACAAATATAAATCAATAATGAAAATACAGAGGTGAGTACCAGGGTAGCCAAGAAAACCTCTCCCAGATTAGAGTAACAAAGGATTTAGTTGAAAATACTGTGGGTCAGGCACTACCTCTGGGGAGAGAAGCTGGAAAGAAAGGAGACACTTTTCTCTGTATGCCCCAATATCCTGTTTGAACACTTTATCATGTACACATACTTCCTTTTTAAAAAAACTTTCAACTGAAAAGAAAATTCTGTATGTTGTTGTTGAGTCACTACATATTTGAAATTTACTGAGTCATATTTTCTAAAAAATAGATATGTGAGAGAAAGCAGTCCCACATTACAGAGGCCTATCACATGCTCTCAGGGGAGGCGGGAGACGTGGCTTCCTTCAGCGCAGGAGAGAGGACTCGGCTGGGGGTGTCTGAGTTGCTCAAGACCCAAGAGCACTAGAAGCGAAACCATTTAGCCATCCTCTCCCATTTTCATTTTCAAACTAAAAACCCGCTACCTCCACAGGACCTGCTTCTGTTTAGAAAGTCAGTGAAAGAATGGATGACCTCACTTTCCCCAAGAGGTGGGTCCTACAGTGTTGTTCGCAAAACAAAACTTGAGTAAATCGATTTATAGTTTAAATACCCTAGCAGAGGTCCTTGTTTTAGCAATTCTGAAGAGATCCTCTTTGCAAAGCAAAGAAGCCGATTGTGATGTTAACACTGTGTTTTGTAAATAATTTTTTTGGTGCCTTGCAAGGGTCCTAGTTTCAGCCTGGAGCCAATCTTCAGAGCTGTCTGGGTGTCTGAGAGCCTGGTAGGGCAGCCTGGTCTAGAGTCCATTTGCATGAGACCAAGGACCCTCCTGCAAGAGACGTCATTGTAAGGGCAGAGGGAGCCTGCACAAGTTCCACCCAATAAGGAAGGCAGGGGCATTGGAGGGGAAGCGTGATTTAGAGCCTAGAGCCGTGTCTGAGTTGGTAGATTTCTTCCCAGCCGCCTCTGGATTCAAATCAAGTCATACAGCAGGAGGCAGCTATGACCACAAACTCCAGAAAATGCAACAAGGTCCTCCTTTGACATCCCATCAAATAGGTGAGTAGTGTTCTCCCCACTTCTGCCCTGAACCAAATGGGCTGCAGTAACTTGAGGGCTGCGGCAGACCCAGCACCTGCCCAGGCTCCTCGGGGATCGTCCCATTGCCAGTGGTGGGGACAGCCCCAGCAGCCCAAGACAACTCCCTTGGCACAGAGATCAAAGTCTTCACCGAGAGGACCCCCAAGGGGCCACTAGGGAGAGAGCAGGGGTGTAGCTGTCCTGGCCCAAGTGGGCTGGAGCAGGTGAGGAGGAAACCGGCAGATGCCACGTGGTGGCAAAAAGGAGTTATTTATGTATGCACTACACGCTGCACCTGGAGACTCCTAACTGCACGCGATTTGGGGGTAATCAGGCAGTTCTGCAACAGCTGGTCACAGCGAGAGCCAGGAAAGAACAGTACTCCAGATGACTCTGGTATCACCTTATTTGTAACCCTGGGCAGATGGGCTGTGGCGTGGTCTGAGGAAACTCAGGTCAAAACATCTTAGAATTTTTATAAGTACGAATAAACTGGAATACTGAATTCTAGCCTGTTAATCTGGTAATTAAAGTATTTTTTTTAATCATAGGCAGCTTTAGCTTCTCCCCCCCTTGTTCAACTTTGTGCATGACTTCAGCTTTACTTTCTTTCTCAAGACATGCCAAAATGCTGAGTCACTAAAAAAAAAAAAAAGAAGAAGGAAAAGAAAGTAAAGGAAGAGTGATCCTGCTTTTTAGGGCTAGGCTTGTAATGACCTAAGCGGCACTTTTTCCCCCGGTTGTGATTCCTGTGATGCTAAAGGACGTCACATTGCACAATCTTAATAAGGTTTCCAATCAGCCCCACCCGCTCTGGCCCCACCCCCACCCTCCAACAAAGATTTATCAAATGTGGGATTTTCCCATGAGTCTCAATATTAGAGTCTCAACCCCCAATAAATATGAGACTGGGGATGTCTGAGGCTCATTCTGCCCTCGAGCCCACCAGGAACGAAAGAGAGCTCCATCTGTCCTCCAGGAACCCAGCTATGAACTCCCTCTCCACAAGTAAGTGAAGGAAATCCCTAGCCCTGGAACTGCCTGGCAGCCGTGCCTGGGTGAGGGAGGGGTGTGTGTCTGTTGTGAGGGCTGGCTGGCAGCCAGCAGCCAGAAGCACAGCTCCCCCAGCTGTACAATCGGCTCACTGGCTGCTCTCCCTTCCCTTCGGCACAGGCGCCTTCAGTCCAGTTGCCTTCTCCCTGGGGCTGCTCCTGGTGGTGGCTACTGCTTTCCCCACTCCACTATCTCTGGGAGAAGATTCCAAAGATGATACCACCTCAAATAGACCACTACTCACCACTGCAGACAAAACTGGACACCACATTAAGTACATCCTCGACAAAATCTCTGCCCTGAAAAAGGAGGTAGGCTTGCCTGAGGGTGATGAAGGACCCATGTGGGCATTCGTCTCTTTGCCCCTGGATGTGGATGGGGGCTTGTGCATTGGGAGGTCTTTGCTCAGTTCTGGGGCAGTTTAGATTTGAGGCCAAAGGGGCAGACTGTCTTCTGTATTTCTCCGCTGCTACTGGTCTTAAGGAGTCCCTTTCCCTCTTGGAAAATACAGAATGGGGCTGGAATCCATGCCCCCTAGTGAGCTGAGGGTCATTGCTTCTCAGGGCTCCCTTTTCTCTAAACAAAAAATAAGGTCGGTCTTCTTTTTGTCCCTTGGACTTTGGCAGGATTAAAAAAGTACCATCTAAAATGAATGTTCAGCATCTCAGGACAGTCACAGTACTTTTAGGTTATGCAAGCTCGGTGGTTAGGGACTCCCCAAAGTCATTGCAGCATATAAGATGCATACCTAATAGCCCACCCAAGTGGCAAAATCACAGGTAGGTTAAAGCAGCTCCCAAGCTTTAAATGAAAGGTAGTTTGGCTCTGTTTGGTAGAAAGGAAAGAACACAGAAAGAGGAGACTGGGAGCCCCATATCTAATTCTGGTTCTGCTGAACCAGCTTTGTGATCTTAGGCAAATTCCCTACCACCTCTGGGCCCCATCTGTAAAATTACGGGATTGGACTAGATGATTTCACAGGTCCTTCCAGCTGGAACTTTCTATGGCTCCAATTATATTCACCCAATTATCATCAAAATTGCTGTCATTTATTAATTACTAACTATGTGCCAAGCACTTTACATAAATACTATGTCACATCCTCACAATAAACTTACAAGGGAGGTGTTTCATTATCCCCAATTGGGAAAGATAGGGCACTGAGACTCAGAATAGGTAACAAGCCTGAAGTCACAGGTGAGCCTGGAATTGAACCCATGTGTACCCGTCTCCACTCAACCTTGTTTGCCTGGACGCTAACGGGTTGTGACTTCGTTTTTCTTAGAGAATTTCCTGGCTGTGGTAGAACATGAATCGGCCCTCTAGTGGTGTTTGTTTTAGGGGCACTTCTACAATAACAATTCTGGTGTTCCTTTCCAGATGTGTAACAATTTTAGCAAGTGTGAAAACAGCAAGGAGATACTAGCAGAAAACAACCTGAACCTTCCAAAGATGGCAGAAAAAGATGGATGCTTCCAATCTGGGTTCAATCAGGTACAAACTCATCACATTCACTTTTAGCTATTCCTTAGGCAAAAGTTCTCCCTCTTGCATGCAGTGCCTGTATACAAATAGACCAGGCAGGCAACAAAGAAGGGGATAGATGTAAGGAACATCATGTAAATTTCATGAGGAGTTCAACTTAAAGCTTTTTAAAGGCAACTTATCTTTGAACAGTATGGTCAGACATGGCCCTTCTGTGTTGGGATTTTCACAACTGTCAAATGTGAGAAATCCCAGCAGGTTTAGCCAGTTCATCCTGGGTGAGGTGGTCCAGGGAGCTTTCTTCTCTCTGGTTGCCCTTGGCAGGGTGCAGGTCTGCCTTCCCTGCTGAGGTCATTCTCTCTACCCTTCTCCTTCCAGACAGTGAGATAACCTACACTGGCTTCTGATCACTCCGTAAAAGGAGGTTTCAGCCCAACATTGACAAGGGCAAAAGTACAGGGAAGAGCATTAAGGGGAGAATCAGAGAATGACATATTCTAGCATCTGTTAGGCTCTGGGTAATATTGATTAAGTGGTGTCTCTGGTTGTCCAGATATTTTAAATGGGGCAGCTGACGCTGTCCAATGCCTCAAAACATGATACCTAAGAAGTACCTGAAGTTCCTTGGAAGGGCAGAGGGAAAAAGTTATTGAATTATAGCAATTTTAACACAATCAATTTTAATATAATCAATTATATCTTCCAATAACCAATTTTTCCACTATCTTTCGTCTTAGGAGAACTGCCTGAAGAAAATCACCACCGGCCTGTCAGAGTTTCAGATATACCTGAAGTACCTCCAGAACCAGTTTAAGAGCGAAAACGAAAACGCCAAGACTATACAGATCAGTACCAATGCCCTGGTCAAGATGCTGAAGCAAAAAGTGAGTGTGTTCTCATCTCCTTACTTGGCATGGGGTAGAGAGGCGCAAAGAAAGCAGCCTAGATAACTCAGGAATGCAAAGCTGGTTCAAAAGAGATGGCCACGTGTAAACGAAAGGATCTGAGAAATATTTCCTGATAATTAAAACTTTTTTTTGGCTCTCTTCTCCAAAAGACATCAATAACTGTATTTAAAACTATGTTAAATGAGGTTGATTTTAACATCAACTTCTAATAGCTTAAGAAATAAGAAAAAGATATCCGTAGAGGCAGAAGGAAGCACATCCAACCCTGCTCAGTGATCCACGATATCAAAGAACAGAGAGCACAAAAATTATTTTAATATTCTAATCATTGCCAAGTGACATTCTTGTCATTATGGTAGTTTCAACTTTTTCCCTACTTTTTGCCAAAAGAGTTAATGCTGAGAAATGGCCAAAGGCTAAAGGCTGGAAGAGCAGGTATCAAGGGCTTTGGTCACCACCAGCTAGCCACTCAAATGCCAAATAATGCAGGCTTGAAGGCACAGCATGTGGATGAGCCAAACAAAGCCAAATCAGAAGGGCCCTGGTTGGAGAGGCGAGTACACGGGTGCTAATCTTGCCTCTGCCTTTTCTGCTGTTTGCCTTAAAGCAGGGCTTCTCCCACTTTCATGTGCACACGAATCCCCTGGGGATCTTATTACAATGCAGAGTCTGATTCAGCAGGTCTGGAGTGAGACCTGAAATTTGCATCTCTAACAAGCTCCAGGTGATGCCCATGCTGCAGTGCTCCGGGACCACACCTGGAGGTGCAAAGCCTTCCACGGTTACTTATTCCCATGTCAGTGTGTCTACGGAAAGGTGTTTCCCAGTCCTCTTTACACCAGAAGGTCAACGGACTCTCAATACATGCTGGGCGGATGGGTGAGAGTGAAACCAGTGAAAAATATTAGAGTTAGAGGCCACTGAAGAATCCATTAAAATAGCCTTTAACTATAGGTTCTTCATTCATCTATTGAATTCCAACTATGTGCCAAGCACTGTTTAGGATAACAGAGTAGAAGACAAATAAGATACTGTGGCTGCCCTCAGGATGTTTATGCTCAATGGAGACAGAGCAGCAAGGTGATGATTAGAATTCAGTTGCTTTGAAAGGGCCTCCCATACAGGGTGTGCTTGGAGGAGAAGCACCTCCCCATATCTGGGCAAGTCAGGGCAAGTTGCCCCAGTTAATCTCCTTCACTCCAAATTTGAATATCTTCCCACAGCCCAGAGCGTCCCTCCACTGCAAAGGATTTTTTCAATATTTAAACAATTCTTTTTGTTTTCTTTTCTCTTCAGATAAAGAATCCAGATGAAGTAACCTCTCCTGACCCAACTGAAAACACCAGCCTGCTGGAGAAGCTGCAGTCGCAGAATGAGTGGCTGAAGAACACGACAATTCACCTCATCCTTCGAAGCCTTGAGGATTTCCTGCAGTTCAGCCTGAGAGCTGTTCGCATAATGCAACCTTAAACCTACGACAACCTAAGAATTGTCGTAGTTCATGAGTATTCCTTCGTCTGGTCAGAAACCTGTCCACTGGGCACACGACTTATGTTGTTCTCTATGAAGAACTAAAAGTATGAGCGTTAGGACACTATTTTAATTATTTTTAATTTATTGATATTTAAATATATAATGTTGAGTTAATTTATATAAGTATTAGATATTTATATTTTTATGAAGTGCCACCTGAAATATTTTATGTATTAGTTTTGAAATAATAACGTAAAATGGCTATGCAGCTTGAATGTCCTCATTGTTTCAGAGCCGCATCATTTCTTGGAATGTGTAGGCTTACCTCAAGTAAATTGCTAACTTATACATATTTTTAAAGGAAATATTTATATTATATTTATATAATGTTTAAATTGTTTTTATACCAATAAACACCTTTTTAAAAAAAAATTAGCAACTAAGCATCTGTGTCTTGTGAAGCTTAATATAAACAAATTTCCGTCACCACCACCACCACCTCCAAAAAAAAACTACAATCACCTGGAGAAAGATACACAGTCATGTGTCACTTAACAACAGGGATACATTCTGAGAAGTAAGTATGTCATTAGGCAATTTCATCATTGTGCAAACATTATAGAGTACACTTACAAAAACCTAGATGGTATAGCCTCTTACGCACCTAGGCTATATGGTACTAATCTTATGGGCCCACCATAGTATCTGTGGTCCGTCATTGACCAAAACATCATTATGCGGTACATGACTAATTGAACACCTACTGCAAGCCAGACACCATGTTAAATGTGTTACATTCATCGTATCATTTAATCCCTCACTTGCACACTCTTTTGTGGATGTGGGAAAGTGATTTCCCTAAGTCACCCAACTTGAAGGTAAGGCACAGGCCCAGATTTGAAATCCAGGCCTACCTGCCTCCAGGCACCCTACTCTTAACCTTTAGGTCTCGTTACCTCCCAGGGAACTGAGAGATGATGTAGAAAATCCCAAGGCATATTAATATAGGCAATACATTTAAAGATGCAATTAAAAGCCTTTGAGATGATACAACCACTTGTATAAGACATAGCAATGTGCAAGCTTCCAAATGATAACTAGAAGTTCTGCCTCCCTCCTCTGGGTTCCTCGTACACTACACATACCTGTCTGTCATAACACCTACCACATTGTATCACATCTTAAAATTGATGGATTTTTCTTTCCAGCCAGCACGTGGGTTCCTCAAGAAGGCAGACTCTATTATATTCATCTTTGCATCTTGGGCGCATGGCCCAGAACCTGAACATAGGAGGCCCCAATAAACATTTGTTGAATGAAGAAAGCATACAAAGATGATCAAATATAAGACACTCAATTCGTGGGGACATATACTATTGGTCAATGAGTGGGGAAATTACAAATGCTGTGCACCTGTGTATCTTCATCTTAAGGAAAAACAGCAAGCATTAGAAAGAAACAATCTAAGAACTTCCAGAGAAGGCAATGAATAGTCCGTGCACGTATATCTACCTCCATTTCCTTTCCCACCAGCAATATTCTTTGTCCGCATTTCTCCCCTCGCCCCTGTCAAAAGTGGTGGTGAGAGAGGCAATCTGTGTATCTGAACGTGGCCCCTCCATCCTACTTCAACACTATGTTGGGAATTTGGTAAAGATTTCCCCTTTTCAACCCCAGCAATATAAAAGTTCTGTCTTCTAATAAAGCTTTCCCCACCCTAACCACCACAGACTTCTTTCTCCAGAGGAGGAGTTCTGAGCAAGGGAAAGTCCACAGAGGTCAAGAACTGAGAGAAGCTAAGCAAGAAAAGAGCCTCACACTCTGATTTTCTAGAAACCACGCATCTCAAGCGGGCTTCCCAAGATTAGCCAAATCAAATTACAAAGAGAAATAGCAGTCAACTAGTACATCCATTCTTCAAACAAAAATATGATGAGCACCATATATATCAGGTAATACTGGGGTTGTGGAGGTGAATAAGCTAGACATGGCTCTGGCTGTCATGTGGCTTACAGTATGGTATGGAAGACAAACATTGAACAAAGAATGTAAGTGTGATGAGATGAGGTGCACTGAGAAACTATACTGGGGGCACCGATACAAGGGGGAGCTAGCTAAGCCTCAGAAGGGCAGTCATGGAGGCTTCCTTAAGAGAGAGAGGTTTTGGCTGAGATATGAAAGATATGTAGGAGTTAGCTAAGCCAAGATAGGTAGGAAGAGCATTCCAGACAGAGGGAACAGCATGTACAAAGGTCTGAATCAACAAAGAGCACACTTTGGTTGAGACAATGAAAACTACATTATATCGAGTGCATAAAGAACAAGAAGGAGGATGGTTGAGAGGGGGCGGAGAGGGAGGCTGGGATCAGATCATTGACAGCATCAGAAGTCATGTCAAAAATGTTTGAATTTATTCCACATGTGGTGAGAAGGCATTGACAGATTTTAAGTAGTAGAATAACATATCAGATTTACATTTTAATATGATCACTCAAGTTGCAGTGTGGAGAATGGCTAGGAAAGGGGCTGAAAGAAAATATTGAAAACCTTCATTGTAGTCCAGGGAGAGATGACAATGTCCTGAATTAGGATGGTGGTAATGGCTAGAGAAGAGAAGGCAATTGCAGCAATCAACAAAAGAGAGCTAGGAGCCAGTTCAGTAGGATTTGGTGATTAGTGACCAAGATTCAGGAATTTCAGAGGACACTGAGGTTTTCAGAGAGAGAAGAAGTAGTGGTTGGATGGAAGAGTAAGCACAGAGAATTTTGGATTTGAAGGTATTCATTTATTCAAATATTCTCTGAACATCTTCAATGTGCCCAATTCTCTGCTGGGACCTGGGGATATAATGGTGAATCAGACAGACTAGGTCACTGCTGTCAAGGAGCTTACAGTCTAGGGAAAACAATTAAAGAAAGGACTACTATGCTGTATGCTAAGTATGTGTGCTACTATTATGAGTTGAATTGTGTCCCCTAAAAAGATATGTTGAAGTCCCAACACCCAGTACCTGTGAATGTGAACTTACTTGGAAATACTATCTTTGCAGATATAATCAAGATAAGATGAGGTCATCAGGGTGGGCCTTATAAGAAGAGAAGAGAGACAGAGAGACACAGAGGGGAGAAGTCCATATGAAGACAGAGGCAGATATTGGAGAGGTGCATCTACAAAGCAAGTAACACCAAGGATTGAAGATAACCTCCAGGAGGTAGGAAGAGGCAAGGAAGGATCCTCCCCTAGAACCTTCAGAAAGAGCCTGGCCCTGCTCACACTCTCATTTCAGGTATCTAGCCTCCAGAACAAGGAGAGAATACAATTCTGTTGTTTTAAGCCACCTGGTTTGTGTCAATATATTATAGCAGCCCTAGGAAACTCATACTGCTACTACGGCAGTGCACAGCAGGAGAGTCTAATCTACAGCAGAGGGCTCAGGAAAGGCTTACCAGAAGAAATGACACTTAAGCTTATATCAAAAGAATGTATAGGATTCAGCCAGTTGGAGAAGCAGGGGAGGTGTTCGAAGCAGTGAGCACAGCATGTACAAAGGCTCAGAGGCAGGAAAGAATATTTTGGAGGAACCGAAAGAATCCTAAATAGCTGAAGCACAAAGAGGGAAGTAGTAGAAATGAAGCTGAAGCCATCAGGTCCAAGTTATGAAAGAGCACAGAGGATGGATTAAATAAAACTATTAACAAAACAGAAAGATAAAGAGCAACTTTCTTGGAAAGAGTTTTTGATTTGGGATTTTTTTCTGTTTGCTTACTTTTTTAATGTTGAAGATTTTTTAGTTTCTTCTGATGGCATGGGGTAAGGAGGTTGGGATCCAGAGGCAGTATCTAGAAGAGATTCAGTTTTCTGTGGCAGCTTCCAGCAAAGGGCAGACAGTGCCAGCAAAGTGAGAGGCAAAAAAGAGAGAAGATAAGGAACATCTGTGGCAGAGGTGACTTAGGAACTCCAGACACTGTGATGTCTAGTGGCAAATTTTAATTTATGTTCTCTCTTACTCATAAAATTTCCATAAACTTTGTTCACCAACATAAAGCACATATATTGCACCCTTGTGCCAGCCTAGCTCTGAAGAATGGTGGGAACTTCATGTCCACCTTTGGGGCAAAATGGGCAATGGAAGGTTGAAAACACAGGAAGATTCAGAGAAGTGATCAAAGAGAAATCAAAGGTAAGAGTTCAAAGCAAAAAGTGACAGGCAACAATCAGGACATGTCACACCTCTCCAAGAAATTCAAGAATACTCAGGAAGATTGGGGAAACGTTTGAATTTTCTGTAGTTGGGTTGGAATAGAGACACTGAATATTGTATTTGGATGCTAAAGGAAAGGATTATCTCCAAAGGCTAAGGGCTTGAGAACATTTAGATTACACTATGCAAATGACCCAAATGTCTGCAGGAGAGAAAGTGATAGGGAGGCAGCAGTCCATACTCCACTCCCAATAAAAATTCCAAGTTTCTGGTGAATTAAAATGGGAAGGAAGAGAGAAACCAACTCACATGCTATAAGAATAAACTAATAACAATAATATAACTAACTGTTATTGATCACTTACTGTGTGCCAAGCACAGCTCAATGTACATATTATTTCAGAGGCACATATATAAACCTAAGGAGCAGAGAGTCTAAGCAACTTGTAAAAAGTCACAAAGTGTGTAAATTCCATAGCAGACTGTTAGTTATCCCTTCAAATCCACTCTCCACTTCTTCCACAGTAACAGAGTTTGAATTAGACATGTGACTACCCATCTAGAGGCTACGTTTCCCATTCTCCTTTGCAGGTAGGCATGGCTGTGCTGAAGCCTAAGACTGCTATCCTTAGAAAAGCCTGTTTACAAGCTTGGCTCTTGGCTGGTATCTGTGAACTTGAATGGTAAACAATTCCCTACACCGATACAGAACTTTCTCCAGGTGATAAGAGTGCCTAAACTGTTTGTTGAGACAATATGGTTTATACTATCACCTGCTTTCCTTCTGAAAATCTGAAATTTTTTTTTTTTGGTGAGGAAGATCAGCCCTGAGCTAACATTCAATGCCAATCCTCCTCTTTTTTGCTGAGGAAGATTGGCCCTGGGCTAACATCCGTGCCCATCTTCCTCTACTTTATACAGGACACCGCCACAGCTTGGCTTGACAGGCCTTGTGTCCGTGTGCACCCGGAATCTGAACCTGCGAACCCCGGGCCACCGAAGCAGAGAGCACGCACTTAACCGCTGTGCGACTGGGCTGGCCCTGAGAGATTCTGAAATTTTAATACATGCTAAGCAGAGGGTTTCCCAATAAAAACTATGGGCACTGAGTTGCTAATGAACTTCCCTAGTAGACACATGTTGTCACAACTCATTGCTGGAGGAATTAAGCGC